GTCAAAGGCACGAACGTATGCCCAAGCAGGGGGCGAACGGAATGTTTCAAGTGCAAGTGCAAGGAGTTGAAGAAACGTACGTAGAAAAGACCACGCAAGGAGATACCGGGCGGTGGTGAGGAGAAGGGATCAATTAAAAGTCAATCCATCTGCCCAGGCCATGGTCAGCGGGGGCCAGCCAGGCCCAGCCATACCTTTTCGTTCGTTCCACAGTAATTGCCTATTTTAACGCACGCCACCGCACCAACCCATTACAATTACAATCAAACACTGTGACCACACGCATCGCCGCGGGTTGACTTCTTCGCTTCCCCTTCCCTTCGCCTCACCTATAAAACGAGCCTTCCATCGCTCTTCCGCTTCCATTCGTTCGACTCCCAGCAAACAACATCGATCATCTCAACTGATCGTTACCGTCAACCTCGCTCCTCCGATCCGATCACACGCACAAGCAGCAAGCAGCGACCACACCCCGCAGCATGGAGGTCTCGTCGTCCTCGGCGGCGGAGGTCCCCCACTATTTCCTCTGCCCGATCTCGCTGGAGGTCATGCGCGACCCGGTCACGCTCGCCACCGGCATCACCTACGACCGCGCCAGCATCGAGCGCTGGCTCTTCACCGACGGCCACGCCACCTGCCCCGTCACGCGCCGCGCGCTGGCGCCCGCCGAGATGGACGCCACGCCAAACCACACGCTGCGCCGCCTCATCCAGGCCTGGTGCGCCGCGCACCAGGTCGAGCGCTTCCCCACGCCGCGCCCGCCGCTCGACTCGTGCCGCGTCGCCGAGCTCCTCGACGAGGGCCGGCACGGCGGGGACCGCCAGGCGGCCGCCGCGCTCAGGGAGATCAAGGCCGTCGTCGCCGAGAGCGAGCGCAACAGGCGCTGCGTCGAGGCCACGCCGGGCGCCGTCAACTTCCTCGCCTCGCTCGTCGCCAAGCACTCCTCCACGTCTAACGACTCTTCATCCAAGCGTGCCAGCGGCCAGCAAGACGCCGCCGACGACGACTTCGTGCTGGATTCTCCGACCTCCACGAGCTCGCCGGCGGAGGACGCGCTCGGCGTCCTCTACTCGCTCAAGCCCTCTGAGCGGAGCCTTGCCCAGATCATTGAACGGGACGGAGACTTCCTCAACGCGCTGGCGTCCGTCCTGCGCCGCCCGAGCTACCGGTCGCGCGCCTACGGCATCCTTCTCCTCAAGGCGATGACGGCGGTCTTGACGCCGGCGCGGCTCATGACGGTGAGCGCCGGCCTGGTGCAGGAGGTGGTGCGCGTGGTCTCGGACCGGGTGTCCTCCAAGGCTGTCCGGGCGGCGCTGCACGTGCTGTGCCGCCTCTGCCCGTGGGGCCGGAACCGCGTGAAGGCCGTCGAGGCCGGCGCCGTGGCCGCGCTGGTCGAGCTGCTCCTCGACGAGGGCGGCCGCCGCGTCTCCGAGCTAGCCGTCGTGGCCATCGACCACCTCTGCGGCTGCGCGCAGGGACGGTCGGAGCTGGTCGCGCACCCGGCGGGCTGGCCGTCGTGTCCAAGAAGGTCATGCGGGTGTCCGTAGTCGCCACCGAGAGCGCCGTGCGCGCGCTCCACGCCGTGGCCAGGCACTCGCCGACGCCCTCGGTGCTGCAGGAGATGCTCGCCGTCGGTGTGGTGGCAAAACTGCTGATGGTGCTGGAGGTCAATGCCGGCGAGAGGGCCGGTCTCAGGGCAAAGGAGATGCTAAAGACACACGCTAGGGTTTGGAAGGACTCGCCATGCCTCCAAACATACCTGAGGGATTCTTACCCTTGCTAGCTGATAGCCTGATACACAATATACTATATATCATGTACATTACATTGACATTTGTATCCAAAAGGACCACACATTTTGATTCTCCTTTTAAGTTTGTTGCTAAATCATTTTAGTTGGTACATGTACAAATTCTTTCATATTTCAAAGAAGAAGAAGAATGTAACGTCCTTTAGAGAGACATTATACTCTCCAAAGTAGAAAATGTATCTATTGTTCTTTGTAGGTCCTTTAATTTAGATAGTGTACATTTGAAATGAATCAAAAGCTGTACATTCTTGATTCAATTTCATTTTATGTGTTAATTGTATAATATTAGTTCTAGCTATTTTGCAACTATGTCGGGCATTTTAGTAGTAGGCAATAAATCCGTCGACATCGAAACGTCTATGGTAATTTCATCAATTTCAGGATTCCTTGGCTTGGTCTCTCTAGGGTTGTACGACGTGTATATAAGTGTCTTCACATATACCAAGATTTGCAGAAAGATGGGCATTATATAATATCAGGTCGAAATTATGTTATCCCATTGGTTATACTTAACCGAAATTAGTTTTGATATTTACTTAGAATTGTATCTTAATTAGAATTGAAGCTTTAGTCCTTTCTGAAATTTGTGAACAAACATTATGTGTAAATGGTTCAACAGCAATACTATCTCCATTCCAAAATTATAAAACATTTTGGCTTTTCTAGATTCATGGCTTTTGTTATGCATTTTCAGGTCTATTTCACCCGTACTTGTTTTTGGAGGCTGCTACCTGTATCTACACAACACTCAGATCGATTCGGTGGCAGGATCCTACTGCCATTGATCAGTAAGCCAACAGTATTAAATTATTCGAGTTTATGACAGTTTGATTTGCTATTGCTTTCGTTTGATGGCTGCAAAATACCACCTGAATGACAAAGGTGCACGTTTCACTTGATTTCTCTCACAGCCATTGTCGTCGCTTCTAGATGACTTTAAGCAGCTAGCTGCACACACACACACCGTAGCAAGACATCAGAGCATGCATAGATCATTTTAGCTACCATATAAGACTGTTTTTTTTAAGGGAAAATGAATACAAGTCACACATGCTTGTCTCAATTGTGGATCAACAGAACATGCATGACTTTTCCTCAGGGAGAGAGGAAACAGCAGCGCTGAATGCCTCAATGACTCAATCTATCAGCTGCTCCCTGCTCCCAACCCTTTCTCTAGTTTCCCTGGAAAATAGATTGCAAATGGGCTGAAACATATTGTAAATGGGCTGAAAACAGGTTAAAAATGTTCATCGTCGATGTTGTGCTATTATTAAATGTGCCGGGATGCCACGTCATCATCCATGTCATCGTCCACGTAAGCATCCATGATGACATGGCAATGCATCTATGACGATTATTTTCCATCATTGGAAATGGGCTTGGGCTAGGCTTGGGCTTGGCTAGCTAGGCTTCGGGCTCTATTGTGATGGGTCAAGATCGTCACCGATTCCGTTAATCTGTGACGGTTTTCGGTATACCGTCACGGGAGTTAATCCATGACGCTCAATCCATGACGATATCTAAAACCATCACAAATACTGCGTAGTGACGATTTTTGTTGATCCGTGCCGAAAATTTTTCATCACGGATTAACAGGTTTATTGTAGTGTAAAATTTACAAGTTTGTCAAAAATGAAACAGCACAGCTGAACGCCTCAATCTGATTGTCTGAAAAAAAAACAGAATGAAAGATATGCTTGTCTACATGTATGTGAAAATCGCACGTCAGATGCCATGCCATGCATGTTCTCCCGGCTGAGCGAGGTGCTAGTTTCTGCAAGTTCAACATTCATCTGATGCACAGGTTACGAATAAATCAAACTTGATTGAAGAAGCTGCAAGCGACACAATTAGCTAATTGGTTCAAATTTCAAAACAAGGACCCGTTGAAACCAGAAATTAATTGGGACCAACTAGTTGAGAGGCATAGAAACAATAGTCAAATGCTTATCCAGGTTATTACAGCCCACAGTTAATTTATGCTCGCAACGATGATAGATTGTAGCTAGACTAGAGAAGACAATTCAGTCCACAGAATCTTCAACTCGTCAATTCTGCTGTATAAATTTCATTGAAGCTAGCATGTTGACAGTGGTGCTTAGTTACCAGCTTATGCTGATTTGTTGTGAGAGAAAAACACTGTTCGTTCGCTGAAAAGTACTACTGAAGTAGTGGTGAAGAACTGGATTGACTACTCGCCGTTGAACTTTGATGTTCGATCGTAACCTCCCTGCATATTGCAACTCTGCTACAATATACAAACATGTAGAGACATACGTACGTGAATTTGTTTTATTTTTAACCCTTTTTTTAAACTATTTCCAATTTTGACACCGTTTTATTTTTTTTCGAAACTAACACTTTTGGCCGCGCCTAATGCCATGGCGCGGCAGAACCATGTTGTCGCGTCGTGCAGGGTGGTGCAGTGAGGAAGCCACCGTGGCAGCGACCCGGGCCGCTGACCTCTGACATGGCTGGCGCTGCCGCACCGCAGATCAGGGCATGGCAAGGCCCAGTACAGGCCCACGACGCGGCCTTCCTCTTCCCCCTCTCTCCATTCCTTTCCTCTTCGTCCTTTGTTTCACGCGCCGCCGCCCCTGCGTCCTTGCCGCCTCCAAGCGCCCATCACACTCGCCCTCGTCCCCTTCCTTGGGCCATCCACTGCCGGTCGTGACTCCATCCCTCCCTCTCACTACGTAAAAAACATTTTTTAGGGGCGGTTGGTAAGCCTTTGTAGGGGCGGTTTTACCAGCCGCCCCTATGAAAGGGTGGCTACAAATCACTGATTTGTAGGGGCGGCTGGTACTGTAGCCGTCCCTACAAATCGATTTGTAGAGGCGGCTGGTACTGTAGCCGCCCCTACAAATCGATTTGTAAGGGCGGTCTGGGAACACGAGCCGCCCCTACAAATCGATTTGTAGGGGCGGCTACAGTACCAACCGCCCCTACAAATCATTTTTCCGCCAAAAAAAAATTAAATTTACAATAATATCAGCTTACATCAACAGCAACATTGATGCAGCAGTCTTCTTCATGGTACCTTGATGGAACTACTGCATTGCATTCACAAGGAGGGGCACAGCAGATCACCTAACATCAGCACTATCTTATATACAATGCCAACACACAATGTCGAAGGTGGTTGGCTACTCAAGAACAACAGGCAGACACCAAATAAAAAGTATATCCATCAGAAAATGGTGTCTACTGTCAGCCTCCTCTTGGGAGGTGACTTCTCGATTATCTGCTTCTGCAAGTCCATATCAGCTGACAGAAACCTATTTGCTATCGACTCCATATCATCTTCGTCAGTCACAATCGCCTGTAGTCAACAACTGAAGTGAATCAAATGAACTTTGCTAAGCAGCATGCTTTTCGGGCAACAGTAATTCAGTAATAAACTTGAAAAGCTCAAACGGTAGCTCAAATCACCTTGAAATATTTGCTTAGTGCCATCCGATCCAAAGCTTTGATCATGCATCTCCTGTCAAGGGATGATGCGACAGCACAAGGTATCCCTGCTATCTGAACAGCATCCAGCCATTCTCTCAATCCTTCTACAGGTGTATCGAGCTGAATGAAACCAGTAGGTTGGACCTCACGACAAGTATAATAGAAGAAAAGATAAATTGGTGGATAAGATACCTGCTCTAAGTAAGAGAGAAAAGAATATCCAGCATAATAACATGGGAGCAACTAGCAAACAAAATCAGTGGTCATATCATACCTGTTTCTTAAGGTTGCTTAAATCATGAATGTGAGAAAGAGCATCAACAGCAGTGAGCAAGGCAATCAATCCCTGTGAAACAACTCAAGAAATTATTTATCTAGCATAAGTAAATAATATGAATAGGACAATCGCAAACCGTTAGCAAACTAGCAACTTACAGATATGGGAGAATCTGAACCAAGACTACGGTCCCGAAAAAACGATGCAGAGTCTTGGGATGCAATAGCCAATATTAAAGGTTTCTGATGCTCTGTAGATCCATTTTTAAGTGGCGGTAATGAAGCCCATACACTGTCCTTCAAATATGAGGATTTAAACAATGATATAACATTTAAAAACTAAATATAAAGGTATGACAGCTCTGCAGCAAGTATAGAAGTAGGGAAAATATTCACAGGAACACCATGGCAATCTGTCAGAGCTATTGCCTACAAAGTCAAACTACTTCAGCTAAGAAAAAAATAGAACTTTTTCTTTGCAGGCTGGGCATATAAGATGGAAGAAATACTAAACTTGTATAGATAAGGATCACTCAAACTGAACCTGTATACGAAAACAAAAAAGAAATCAATCTGAAGTCCATGACAAAAAAATGCAGGAACTAATAAAAATAAAAGAACATATGCAGAAGAGCAAAGATATAATGACATTGCCATCACAAAAACATATTGTGAAGGGATCAGACATAAAGAAAATATATGTTTTCTTGGTATGACCGTTCATAGAAGGACCAGCTCAAAAGGATGCCCACCCACAGTTTCAGTTTGTTGATCGTTGGCACACATTCTATTAATTAAAAGCAGAAAAACACAGAAGTTAGGTTATAAAAATAATGAAAGGATGAGTACCTTTCTATCTTTTATCTTTTTTCCAGGATAATGTTCTTCAGGTTTCTATCGTCTTGTAGCTTCTGTTCTCTATAAGCAAATCTAATTATCATTACCAATGAAATTGAAAAGGAAAGCAACATATGATGAATAAACTCCCTTAGAAAATATAACTAATCATTATTAACAACAAGAATGAAAAATAAAACACTACTTGGTTATTAAGCATTCCAGTTGAAAGCATCAAGTAGGATACAACTAACTATTACTCAAGGTAAAATGGTGGATCAACGGACCAACGTTTCGCTTGCCATCTACAACAAACTAAAAATATTTCCTACTTTCTTGACACTAACAATATTTCATACCAGAGTGGATGTAGCCGCCGGAGGAGGAGGAGCTCCCTGGCCGCCGAGCTCACCACGCCCGGCATCGATCCGGACTCCAGGCCCTGTGCCGCCACCAGACTTCATTACAACATATGTGTTCAATGCGCTAGCCTCTTCTTAGAGCCAAACCTATATCCCTATGTGACCATAATATGAATGAAGTTAAAAAATAGGCTGAGAACATGTAGAGTTCAATACTGAGCTTATATGAAAAGACATCCAGAGTTCAATAGCTATTACAGATTAGGATGGTACACCTAATTTCTCCTTTCTTAAGGTGATAACATACATAGTTCAGATCACTGCACAACATCTTCATATTCTTACTCCGTTGTTCAGTTTCAAAGACCAACTGTAAGTACGACAAAGATAATGTTCTTAGCCAATTTTTAATCTCTACTAGTACAGAGCGAGATAGACTAAAAACCTATCATATCCTTCTGGAAGGAAAATACATATCAAATTTCTAATCTCTACTAGTATAGAGATGATAGAATATGATGATTCAACCATCTCTTTACACATTTTGGCCATATCTTCCTTTGAGCAGAGGCATTGTCCAAGAAGGGAAGAACGAATCTGATTTCACACCTAGTTCTTTGCCAAGCGCAAGCTCCTAAGAGCACCGCAACCGGAGGAGCTCCTAGCCAGCCGAGTCGCCGACAAAGCAGATCCGCCACACCACCACGAGAGGCATGCCTTGGGGAACAGATGGCGGATCCATGCCTCACTCGATCCACGCCAGAGCGCCCTGCGGGCTGTGTGAGAGAGGGCGAGGTATGGGGGGTGGGGAGAGGGCACGGTGCAGGCTGCGGATGTGGCGAGGGCGCGCGCGGGCTGCGCGAGCTATGGCGATCTGGGGCTGTGGGAGATCGGCGTGGTGCATCAAGATGGCAATGGGGACCGGCGCGCTCCGGGAGTCCGTCGTGCCGCTCGACCTCTTCGGCAAGGCGCGCACCACCTGGAAGGTCGGCATCTTCACCTCGCTCCAGCTTCGACCCGCATCTCCCCGCCGCTTCCTCTTCAACTACCCGCAACAACACCGCCATGCCCATCGATTGCCGCTCCAAGTCGCCAGAAGGCGTCCCTCTCCGCTCTCGCCTCCAGTGCAGGAAGGAAGGCGTGGGGTGGGGACGGATCTAGGCCGCCGTGGCCGATCTGCCGGTGGCCACCAGCCAAGACCTGCACCGCCTCGGCGGGGCTCAGCCTTGCCCTTGCAGCTTGTCTTGGAAAGGCGAGGAGGAGGGCGGGGGAGGCGAGGAGGAGGCCGGATCTGTGCGGGGAAGGCGATGAGGGCGGGGAAGCCGGATCTGAGCAGAAAAGGCGAGGAGGAGGGCAGCGGAGCCGAGGGAGGGAGGGAGGGAGCTGCGAGCGGGTGGAGGCGGTTGCTGGAGTGAGAGACGCGAGGAGGCTTTTTATACGTGCAACAATTGGTAGGGGCGGTCGGTGATCGAGCCGCCCCTACAAATGATAATCCTGGGGGCGGCTGATGAGTGAGCCGCCTCTACAACTCCGATCTATTTGTAGGGGCGGCTCAGATCACCAAATTACCCTTTGCTTTTCTATTTGTAGGGCGGCTGGTTTATGGCCTCCCGACACGTCAACTGTAGGGGCGGCTCCATCACCAGCCGCCCCTACAAAAAATTTGTTCCGTTGCTAAAGATCGTTTTTCACGTAGTGTCTCTCCCCATTCCCCTGCTCAGAGGGTGGGGTCAGCCCCTTGGTTGCCCGCGCCCCCTCCCTTACTGGCCGTCCATACGGGCACCGTTGACACCGGCTAGGCCACCGGCGGCCCTCTCTGTCGTCTGGGTTGACCTCTAGAAAGTCCCCCCGTCGTTGCCAAGGTATTTCCCCCCTGCAAGACCCTCAATTTCGTGATATTGGTGATTAATTTTTGAATCAACTGATTAGTGTTAGTATTTTAGTATAATTAGGTAGTTAGGTTTTAGGATTTAGGTTGTATGTTGTAGTGTAGTTATGGTTTAGTGTTTGGTTAGGTAGTTAGGGTTTAGGTTTTTGTTAGTTATGATTTTGGGTTTAGTGTTTGGTTAGGTAGTTAGGGTTTAGTTAGTTTGTAGTAGTAATGGTAGTTAGTATAGATAGTATTTTTGTAGTGTTGGTACTTAGTTGTACGTGATACGACGATTTCGACGACTTGATGAAGTTTCCTCAAATGCTTTTGTAGATGGATTGTTGTGTCCGAGTTTTTTATGGAGGAAGTGTTAAGAAAGAGTATGTTTGAGGATATGAAAGAAGAATTGGAATGGTTTGATGAACCTCCTAGCTTCAGTAACCTTTGTGTCCGTTTGAATGGAAAGTTTGGTGGTGATTTCACACTGAAGGGGAGGTTTGATAGTGGGAAGACTAGGGCATACTATGTCCTGATGCCCTTGCGTGACCATGCTCACTGGTCCCGCTACAATAGGGTAATCCAAGGTTCCAATGTGGCCATGGCTGAGGTGGTGATCATGGAGAATGGGCACAGGATGTCGGGTCTCCATGATGGGCCATCATCCTTTGACGGTGTTGGAGGCAATCAACAAGAATGGGGGTCCATGTGGAATCAACTACGGGTAATATGAATTTCAATGGTCAGTTCACACAGGTGCATCTTGTATCCTCTCCAATGGTAGTCGATGATTCTAGGCGGTTCTTAGTAGGCCTTATAAGCAATGATTTCGATGTGAACGAGTTCTAGCGGGAAGAGGAGGAGCAGGAGGAGGAGGACATGCTCAGTGATGAGGTTAGCAGTGATTCAAAGGATTCAGACGATGAGCAAGGAGGTAGAGATGATATACCAATACCAGTCCATGCTATGCAAGTACCAGTACCAACTAAAGTACTTCATGCTATGCTAGTTTAGGGAGGACTAGTCATAGATGTTCTAGAGAAAGCTACCCCATATGAGTCATGGGTTGGACTTAGCAAAGCACTGCCGTACATTCCACCAGAGCCTTACACAGCAACAGAGCTGATGCAACTGAGGTCGATGAACGTACCTTTTAGTGGCATTCTGAACTATAGGGATGTCCGCATGACACATATGGCAGTTTGTCACACCTGGCTATAGATGTGTAGGAAATCGTTATACGACCATGAGGATCAAATCCTTAGCATGGGATGATATTCAATACAATGTCTGAGATGAAATTGTTCTTTTAGGACTACGCAGTCTTTCACCATAGGCCATACACCATCACTCATTCTGACAAGGAGTTGAGGTACCACTTGATATGCAAGGCAGGTTGTATGTGGAGGTTAAATGCATGGAAGAGAGAGAGCGATGGCAACTGGAGGATAATAAAAGTGGTCCAACCGCACACTTGCCTATCAAATAAGGGCAATGAAAATCATCCTCCACTCACTGCACGTTACCATGCCTATCATATATTGGGACCCGTTGATGACAATAATGATATTTCAGTGTCTTCCTTGATTCAGTCCATATACGGATTTGTAAAGTATGACGTCAAGTACGGAAAGGTTTGGCGTGTGTTAGTATTTATTAACGCAAATAGAATATGAAGGATTCCGCAAGCGCATAGAATACCATTGTAGCATTTTACCGAGAGTATTCCAGGTATCGTTATTTATATTTTACCATAGAGAAACAATGGAGTAAAGATTTATTAAGTAATAAAGGAATATCTATCAGTCAACATACTAGCATAGCTAGAGCAAGAGGTAAATGTAATGATAGGAATTTATGTATAATGACACTCAGGGGATAGATCACTAAGATAATATAAACTAGTTAACTTAGAAGAACAAAGGGTAAGATAGATTCCTGTGATATTCTTGTTACAGGATCAAAGTATATATATACCTGACTACAGCTAAGACTAACTCTACTCTTGTGTAATTCGGGACGCTGCTTAGACGGTAGAGCACAGCAAAGGATAACTCTACTGACGCGACTACGATCCTACAATTTAAGAACCTGCTCATATGAGGTGGACTACAAAGGATAGACGGGGCTGTCACCTCTCGCTGCTACCACATGGCTAGGGAACATGGTGTACTCACAGGTAGAGCATCGTATAAGCACCATGCTTACACGAGACTTGGCTACTTAGCCTAACCGGTAAACTAGTAAGCTAAGCGCTCTGTGAACCCATACATAAAAGTAATGATAACCTTAACTAAGAAAGGTATATATTCAAAGTAAGTATAGCCATGTAGATAAGAATATGATAAATTGATAGTAAGTCTTACAAGATGTAGAAGTGAAGATACAAGGCTTTGTCGAGCCTCCAAGACTAGATCCGAAACTTGAGCATGAGCCCAACTCAACCCTCACTCCCGAGCTACTAATCTACTACACTAGAGAGTTATAGACCTAATCCTCCTTGTGTGTGTTGATCTGAATGAGAGATATGATTTAGGGTTTTAGGATGGCTCTAGGGAGAGAGGTAGAGGCTGCTATATATAGGGGGTAACATCAATTTTGGACCCTCGGATCAAATCGACTTAAATCAACGGCGTAGATGTGATCCTTAAGGCGGTGGAGAACCAATGTAGCGAGGGGCTGACACGTGGGGCCCACAGGCCAGCCGACATGCAGGTGGGGCCGGCCGGGCTCACATATCATCCTCTCGTGCTCTGTCATGGTGGGTTGCCTTTTGGAGTGTTCTAGAATCTTCCTAAGTCGGTTTCGTCGCGAATAAACATGATTTGCTTTGATGAATAGATCATCTTGACGGTTTTCTGATTAAATCCTCCTGCAAACACTGATTCACCAGAACTCAAGAAATTAATCAGTTTAAACCCCTAGACCTATATTTGGTGATGGAATTAAGTACATATAAAGAATATGTTGACGGTTTATGATTGATGTTAATGACCGTCAACAAGCTCCCCACACTTAACCTTTGCTAGTCCCTGAGCAAAGATAAACTTGAACAATGGATCAGGAGTTGCTACAATGCTTTCACGCCTCAAAAGTACACATGCGTTCAATCAAATTCTCCTCTGGATTAGAATAAACTGATCTGACTTTTAAACTTACCCATATTACCTTCAACCATAGGGCTTCTAAGCCTTCACTTGGATCTTGAGTAATGGAAAGACAGAACGATCAAGTTAAGCACTATGTCTCAAGATCTTTGTTCTACCATTGTTTCAGAGTTTTTGTAAGTTTTCAAAATAAAACTCAAAGATTTCATTGTATGACACTCTCAAATCTCTCAATATATGTGGTATTTGTGGATCCTCACCAAGGCATAAAATGATGTTGTGCCTTATCTCATCCTACCACTAAAGCTTATGTGGACTTCATAGGGTGTCAAAATTGAAAATAGTTTTAAAAAGGGATAAAAATAAAAATAAATCAGGTACGCTTCCTCAATGGAACCACATGTATGATGTATCCAGTATTGTAACACCCTAAAATTTGCAATCTTTTTAAAATAGTAAATTTGATTTAAATATGCAATTATATGTGCATTTCAAATTTAGGAAATAATATTTCTTTTATGAAATTAAAAGAAAATACAAGAATAGAAACATGTTGATGCATTCATGCTATTGCATATTTATTTCTGTGACGGGTGGTTTTGTTCAAATGCTAGAAGATTTTAAAAACCTTTTGAAAATGAGTTTGAAAATTTTATTTATAAAAAGAAAAAGGAAATTTCCTTCCATCTCCTCCCCTTCCTCACATTCGGCCCAGCACCAGCCCCAGCCCAGCTCGCCTCCCCTTTTTCCCGCCCGGCCCAGCTTCGCGCAGCCCAGCAACCCCGCCAGCCGCGACAGCCCAGCTCCACGCCGGCCCAAGTCGCGCGCACCCCTGCTGCAACCGCCGCGCCTCCCTTTCCTCCTTCAGCCGCTGACGCCCGGGCCCGCACGTCAGTGCCGCCCCCTTCCTCCCGCAACCGCAGCGCGCGTCAGCCGCAACCGCCGCCCGCGCCCACGTCGCGCGTCGTGGGATCGCCCTCCCCGCGCCCCGGCCTCTTTTTAAGCGAAGCCGAGCCCCCGCGCGTTCCTCTCTCGCTCTCCGCTCCAATTTCGCCCTCGCTCACGCTTCGGAGGCCGCCACCGTCGCTCGGAG